AGTTTCCGACCTTGTATTAATATAAGTAGGTTAAACAATGGCATATCAAAAATGGCGTAAAACCTCTTAAAAACGAAAGATTTTCAACCAGGAAGGTAAGAGACGTTTTATTTATGTTAGAATAATATTATTTAGGCAAAAAAAAAAAAAATTGTGCGAACGACATATTTTATACTAAGTTATTGAGCCTGGGTTACCTGTGGAAATACGAACGAAAGATAGACCAATCAAGTCTACGCTATTTAGTGTAAACAATGTCAGACCTTTTAAATTCCTTAGAAATGTACAAGTATAAACAAAAGATCACAATATCAACTGATGATCATTGTTTAAAATACCTGAGTCAAACGTGTGTTCCAGCAAATTATATTATTTACACTATGAACATTCCAAACGAGCACCTCACAAGCCACTATGAAGGATCAGGGCGTACTATCCCAATACTCGTTTGTTGATGTTTAGAACGCTTCGATTTTAACCCAGTATTGTATTAAGATAAAGGATCGTTGCACAATAATAGAAAATTTGATCTTCAAAAGTTCAAAACTTGTCAAGGGAAAGATCTATTTTGGTGGGAAAACCCGCCGACTCGTCCCGGGCTCAAATGTCCGGAATTTCTGGGCATGACTTTTTGGGCTATCCTTTAAATTGTGGTCAACACTTATCGAGCATTTCTAAGTTGGACTGATGCCGCTGGCATTGAAAACAACTGTGCGGTCAACTCGGAAAAGAGCGGGAAAGTCAAGTGCTAAGGCGCCAGCGCGGACAAAAAGGCGGGAGTAGTTGAAATTGAACCATCTTTCTTTCAGATCATTAAAAAATGGATTTTGTTTGAATTTTTTTATTGCAATGAAAGTCGCAAATCTGATAAACAAAGTTGTCTTGATTCCCCGGTTCAAATGTAAGTTAGAGTGATTACCATAGCAACGATGAAATTGTGAACTAGAAAAGCACATCAATAACTCTAATTTCTTACCTTCACTGATGGTAGTTTATACCTCAACCAAAATGTTTGGAAAAAGTCATTGATGACAAAGTGGTACTCCATCGAACCTGTTGGTTGGTTAATGTTGTCGCAAACTGGAGTTATTTTGATTGAGCGAGTTTCATTGGGAAGCATTTCATGAAGTAATTTTAAGTCGCATGTATCGACTGCGCTCCTGGTCTTTTGGTGTTTCTTATGGTGAATCGGCAAAAAGATTTTGATAGACAGGTACTTTTTGTTTACATCAACAATAGGTACAGTTGGTGTGAAAGTGACTGTAATTTGTGTATCTTTATTGCATTCCTTTAAACGACCATTTTGATGAGAAGCGGTAACCTAAGAACATTCAGTATGAATGAGTAATAGCTTTCATTGTTAAAGTGCGGGCACGATGAAATCCGAATAGACGGTTTTTTACGATTTTGCCAGTTTATACTATGAATAGATCTAATCATAGTTAATAGAGAGGACTAGTCCTCTCTATTAACTATGATCTAATACCATACCTAAGTTATTTTGCCGCCATTACAGCAGATGTAGGCCGTTAGGGGCTGGTAGCGAATTTTGACGCCATATGTTTAACACAAGTGAATCTGACATGAACTACTGTGTGAATCCATAGTTAACTATGGTGAATCCAATCATCAATCGAATGGTTTTTTTTATATTATTGTAATGTTTTCTAGTATGCGACGCCATGTAGCGGCCGGTTTGCAATGAAAAGATCTTCGCACATGTCATTTTTTTGTAGCGGAGCTCCCGCGCGGGCCCAAGGCCCGCGCGAGCGGAGCACTATAACTAAGGAAAAATGGTAAACCCATGGAATTGAGTTTTGATCAACCGACACAGGAAGCCCAGTTGTCCTTCCGTACGTACGTACGTCCGTGTACATCGCGATTCTGATTGGCTACTTTTGAGAAGGCGGGAAAAGGAAGCGCGCTCGCGTCAATACTCCATTTTCGAATTCCAAGCGAATAACCGCTGTTTTATTTGACAGCAGATTCAATTACGCAAAGAACTTACCAAACACAAAAGAAAGCACGAGAAAATGTTGTTA